TTCTCATGGCTGAGATGGTTATTCCCAGGGTCTCTATTTTTTCTTCATGCCTTAACATTTAGCAATCTGAATGGCAGGTATCTGTTAACTGCTTGTCCAGAACTTACGCTAGCTTTTCCATCATCCACCCTGCCTTTCTCAGTAAGGAATAGTAACTTTGCCCTGAAGTTGTACCTTCCTGCTGATGGTATTGTCTTGTACGTGTCTTGACACGGTTCGCCTTAGAAGCCATAGATAGGTTCACATGATACCATTGCATGGTCCAGAATGGCATCATAGAACTTCATCATAAATAACTAATTGTTGGAGTTTATCTTTCACATTCCCAAAGCACTTGGAAGCTTTAGGGTACATTGTGGATAAACTCTTCTTGGAATGTTGTTTGATTCGGTTTTTTCTTGCATGAGGTCACCCGGTAAGAGCTTATCTCAGCTGCTTACAAGAGTACAGATAAAACTGCTAACTATTCTCCAGAACTTCCTTTGTACACTGTTCAGTGTTCTAACAGTATTGCCAGTATTTCACCAGTATAACAAAGTTTTGAAAACCTCCATGTAAAAAAAAAAAAAATCAAGCATTACATTGAAGCTAGGTGTTTAGGGCCCAGAGAATGCTTGATGGTTAGCATGATTCAGATAATATTTTTATAGTGCAGTTGCTTATTTTTTAAAAATTTCTGTAGAAGTCCTGTCCACATCATGTGAAAAAAATTATGGTACTACAGATTGCCCTTGAGAAATCTTGCCTGAGAGATAAAGTTATAACATTTAATAAGACATCAATCATACTGAAATCAGTTTTGTGAGGAAGAAGTGCTTAGGAATCCCTCAGATTTTTCAAGCTTTTCAAATTTGGGTTACATGACATGTTAACTGAAAGGGACCAAGTCTTTGAAGCTGACCAGTGTTCTCACACACCTTATTGTTTAGGCACTATATATATGTATTTTTTTTCTTAAAAAGAGTACTAATACAAAGCATATCAGGGATCTGTATTTACAAGAGTACAGACAGCTTTTTTTTTATACTTCCAGATTTGTTAAATAATCCCTTTTGTCTCTAATATAACAATATAATTTGGGTGACTGTAAGAGCAGAATGACCGTGGACAAACATATCTTTTTAAATTTTTGAGATTATTATATATTGTTAGGTCTGTTATCTCAACCTTCCCTTTAGTACCTCATCTTCCCACAGGATGAGGAAACATCGGGACATGAATGAAAACATGCATCACAAATGCATACTCGACTAGTTAACAACATAAAATGTCCTTGTTTACTGTTTTGTTTTTCCACTCAAAGCTTTTGCATCTTCCTCACTGTTGTACATGATGTAAAAAAAGGTTTTGGCTTAGACTTTGTATTATATATTGTGTTTTTACAGGAGGGAGCCCCAAGCACCTGAGCCTGGGCACTCCCTCGCCCAGACAGTCCCATCCCAAGGCATAAGCCCAGGGGGCTCTGACAGCCCCCAGACAGGGAGTCTGGATCACAGGTCAGTCTCCACCTGCCCCCTCATTCTGGGCTGCCACGTAATCTCCCTCCAAGTACCTTCCTTGGCTGAGAACAGGGCCATTTGACCCCCAGTGTCTGCTTGATGGTGGTCCAGCCAGCACCAGCTAGTTTTCCTCTGCCTTTCCATACTGGAGAATACAAAGAGCTCTCCTCTCCTAATGCATTTTTTTTGCATGCTGCGCTACAAACCAAGTCAAGCTACATAGGCAGGTGTATAGCAGCTTGATGAAATCCCGTCCCTCCAGCTGCCATGACCTAGAGATGTTAGGAAGCTCACTGTGAAGTCACTTTCACAGAAGCAACACCGTTGAGAGCTTTCCTCAATGACCTCTAGTGAAATGGCCACACATCCTGAGATGCTTCCTGAAATGGAGGAAAAGGCCCTTCACATGGAACAGCCAGAACACCAGCCCTTTGAGCTTCTAAGGTTGGCAGTGGAAGGAACACGTGGCCTCCTCCTGGGAGCGGCTGACTGCTTGTGGGTGACTCAGTTTGCCGTGTGGCTACATTTCACCCGACAGTATCAGCATGGGCTTTTTCTAAGGTTTTCCTCAGGCCAGAGCATTCACTAGCCTTCATCTGTGGCTGCACTTGCTTTTGGACTTTTTGTTTGGAGTCTCAGGGGAAATCTTCATGCAGGTTTTGATTGGCTATCTCTGTGAAAATCTTAAGTGGGCAATGATTGTGGCTAAAGGCAAGGCTAGTGTGAGTTATTCCTCATTCAGGGATGCAACCTTAGCAAAAATGGTCTTATAAACATAAAAGGCAACCAGCCCCTCTCAGGAGGGAGCTTCATGAATGATTTTGTGGTGTATGTTGGTTATAGGTAAAAATGAGAGCAAAGCACTTGGGAAAACAATTGTCTGATTTTGTTTACATAACTGTGAAAATGTAGTCTTGATTTAAATGTGTTTACAAACTAAAACTAAATATGGAGGAAAGAAGCCAACATTGACTGAAAATGAATAGTGTACTTTATCATTTCCCATGGTTTGTTCCCAGATGACTTTAAAAGTTTATAGAGCTTGTGTCTTGTCTCTAGTGTCTTTTGAAGTTACTTTTTAAATGAGAAAACTCAGTGAAACCTCCAAATTCTTCCAAGCTGTATTTGTGGAATCTATATTTTATGAAGGTACATTCTAAGGGGATGTGTTTTTTGCTTGGCGGCCTGGATAAAAGTCAAAAGAAACTGAGAAAACAATAAAACCTACCCCCCCAATTTTACTATCTTCTCAGTTTTCCTTTGCACAAGATTCTGATGGAGACAGACCCATCAGGGAAATGCTAACCAAGGTCATGATCATCCTGTGGCAGTCCCACACATGATTCATGATCAGACAATCAGAAGGCAAATTCTGAGGGCCATTTCCTAATGGAAGCATGAACACTTTAGTCTGGAGTGCATAAAGAGGAGGAAGGAACACTGCAGATGTAACTCAGTTACTTAACCCAGCTCAGGATCATGGAGCCTGCCTGGTTAGTACTTAGTATGTCTTGGGGCTCCAGGATCAGAAGAGTGGGATCCCTTCCGCTCCGGGTAGGGCCAGCTGGAGCACGTTTCTCATTAACTCCAGCTGGGGATCTGCGATTGGGAGTAAAACAGATGCCATGTTAAGTCTTTCCTTGCATACTGGAAAGAGAACTTTGCTCCTTTTAATTGTTCTTGGGGTGTTATATGCCCAAACACCAGGTTGGAATTACAGCCATCTGAATTTTCTCAAAAAAGCACTGTTATCATTTGAAAACCAAGGAGCCAAATGAGAGGTGGCCTGGAAAAAGCCACTTTGGAGGTGGGTAACTGGGCCTGCTGATAATACTATGACTGAAATAGAGCTTCTGATTCACTTTGGGAGACCACTGGGAAGGCTTTCCCTGAAATGCTGAGTACATTCTAGAATGCCTTGAGCCTTGTTGTAGCTGAGTTTATCCTCATGTCATTGTACAGACTGCCTCATGTTCACCCAACACCCATCCTGGTTTATTTGCCATAGTCACTTGCATTTGGAGGGTGAAGAACATCCTTGCTAAGCTTGTGCTGTGTATTTTCAGATTTTCTATCTTGTTCTGCTTTCTTTGTTCCTTCCATTGCTTTCTGCAGGTATTTAAACCCATGGTTCAAAAGAGACTATAATGTAGCTAAGTGGGTAGAAGATGTGAATAAAAACACTGAAGGACCATACTTTAGGTATTTTATAAATTAATTTTATATCCTTTTCAAACTCTCCCAGCACATACAAATACTGTAGTGTGACTGGCTCTCCATCTTGTATCTCCCAATACAAGTTCCCGTAGGTGGAAAAGGATCGTTGTTTATTTGCTGCCTTTGATCTCTGTTTTTGGCTTCGTGAGCAAGTCTACTTCTTTTCTGAATGTTTCAAATGAAGCCATTTGAAAGGGTTGCCATTTAGTGCATGTCCCTATCACCATCTTGAGCTTTTTAGTAGCTTTCTCTTCATTTTATGCTATGTAGTGTTCTATGGGCATGAAACATACTTTCCACTAATAAAGAAACACTATTAACCTGAACAATTTAATTTCTAGAATCCAGCAGTTTTGTGGTGCATTATTCCTACTTCCTGCCTTAAGAGTGCATAGTGCATACGAACACTCCAGGGAGAACGTGAAAAGAAATGGAATGAAGCATAGTAGAATTTTACCTATAGTACAAACAATGATTTGATGTCACTTGAAAATTTTTGAGAGAATAGTACCCACATAAGAGTATATAGATTAAGTTTAGATTTTATTCGTTTACTACAACCATTTGGTACCACAGGAGGGCCGTCCCGAGAAGGGTTTTATGGAATCTCAACACAGCACCTAAGGAATTTTTATGCTAATAAGAATGTTGTCTAACACTTCAAAGAGAACAGGAAACAGATGGGAAACATATGCTTGATTCACAAAAGAGCAGATAGAGTAACCCTACATTTTAGAAACTATTGAATTTATTCAGCTCACTGCAGGTCAGTGTAACATTAGAAGTCAGAATTTCCAAGAGCTCTTAATGGCATGTTTTCATTCTTTATAATATCAAAGTGATTTCCTAGATATAAATGTACACTGTATATCTGACTATTTTGAGAGCAACTAATATTAAGAAGAAATACAGATTCAGTTACTACCTCTTCTGAACATAATAAATTTTCAAATTACTCTTTGCCATGACTTGGGTCAACATTTAACAGATATCCAATATGTATGCATATTTCACTCTCAGCACCCATATAAGGTGACTTGCTCTTCCAGTGTACCATTTAGTTTAGATATGTATAGTTTGAGAAAATGATTAGACCGACTTGCATTTTAATTTGATCCATACATTTGCATATACCCCAAGGAAATCATATTCTCTGCCTGCTCACAGAATAGGTGTCCTGCTTTTAGACCCCGCCTTTCTCTCCTGCCCTGTCCTTCTGCTTATATCACTTTCCCACACTGAACCTCATGCACATAACACTCACATTCAACATCCCACCCTCACCTGTAGCTCTCAGGATGGCCAACGTCAGGAAGACAGGTAAGATGATTTTGAATATTTGAAATCTTGACTCATCTGCAATCCTGTTTCTTTCTACTTTCCTCAGGCTTGTGGGCAGATGTAATTTGTATTGGCCATGCAACCAAAACAGACTTTGGTCCCATATGGACTAAGGCTTTTATACCTCAGTGGACTTAGCATTCTTGTAGCAATAATTTGTGAAATGGTACTCCGGAAGAGTTGATTCACCTCCCCTGGGTGAGCTGAGTAGTGTATGTGTCTCCCAGAGAAGAGTTGCATTTCTTAAAATCAGCACCCAGGTCTGCCCAGAAGCTGCATGACTCAACACAATTTGGATGGGGAAATGCTTTAGCACCCTTAGTTGCACGTGCAGAGCTGCAGGACAGTTTTAGAGGGTTCCCTTATCTCCTCTTCTAATACTGAATATCCATTCCCACAATGAGTAGTCACGTTCAGAATTAATTGTTAAAAACCTGTATTTATGTTTAAAAGCTAGATATAATTCAGTGGCGGTTTATAACAACTGTCATTTTTGGATTAATAAGGGTTATATTGATAAGACATGAAAATCAACACAGAATTTCTGTGGGAGTTGTAAATAGTAGAGATACCCCAGAGCTTTTAACATAATGATTGTAATGCAACAGAGAAAATTTGTCTACTCCTCATCCATGCCTAGCCTCACATAGGAGGCCCGAAGTGCAGCCACAACCTTGGCTTCTGCTTTGCCAGCCCCAGGTTTAAGCACAGATCAGCCTCATCTGCCACCAGGTCACTCAGGATTTCCTCTCCTGCCGAAACCACCCCTGAGAGCAATGGCACTTAATCAGTCACCCTGATGGGGTGGGGTTTGTGGCATTCTTTCTAAAATGCAAGTGGGACCTTGTGACTTAAGTAAACCGGGCCAAAATACAGTCCAGCGTTTAAAATACAGTCTCCACATCACGACAGAGAGCAAAGCAAATGTCAGAAGATTCTGAGCTGTCAGAGCGCCTCAGGTGTGCTCCCTTACCCAGTTCTGCTAGGACCCTGACAGCTCGTTGTTATCAGTGGATATTCAGGTCCCTGAGAAGGGGTGGCTGAGGGCCAGGCAGGAGCATTATCCCCTCCCCATGGGACCTGGGGCAGTTCTCTTGGTGATGGTCCTTTACAAGCACCTAGAAGGCATCTTTACTTGTTGGTCTTATCTAGTTGATTATTTATGTCATCAGTGGTTTCTGAGTCCACTGTCATGATCCTATGGATAATACAAACATAATAAGTGAAAATAAACTAATAATAACTGTCATGTATTCAGCGCCTATGGTGTACCTTTATTTCTCACAACATCATGAGCCGTAGGCATTCTTAGTCCCTTTGCAATGGTGGAGGAACTGAGGCACAAAGAAAGACTCAAAGTAGCACAGCTAGTAAGACAAGCCCAGACTCTGTTCCCCTTCCATAGCACAGTAGTGACTTAGAAGCGGCAGGGTGCATAAAGGGGGCTGAACTCCTATCCCGGGCTACTTTAGGACTCCTGCAGGGCTAGCCTACTCTAAAATTCACGTCTGAAGATAACCAATGAATAAGGGTGGGTCTTTGTCCCTTGTGTGTGACTGGACTGGTTTTAGCCTGTTCTGGGGGGCAGAATGGAATCGAGATTGGCCTTGTGAGCCTAGCTGCAAGAGGCAAGCCCGGGTGGTCTGATGGAGCCCCAGGATACACCACAAGCCATTGACACACAGACACGCCTTCAGTTCTTAACAGTACATTTATGGCTATTACGGTTTTAAAAAATGCAGTCCTGAGAGTGGCTACTATTTGTCCAGACTCCTTTGTAAGTGCCTGCCTCTCAGTGAACGCCGGATTGGGACTGACAGGCAGGGAGCCTGGGTCAGAAAAGAGCCTGGTGAGAGTTTTGAACAAATGTCTCTTAGCCATTTATGAGAGATTTTGAGCCTTTTTATTTTCCCTAAACTGACCGACTCTGCCTTGTTCTCTTATTCTGACTCCTGCTCTGGCACCCCCCAGATAATCCCTTCAGGCTGTCACACACCTCCCAACCTCCAGGACCCCTCGCCCCTCCTAAAACTGTCTTGCTTGGCTTCTCATCCTCTCACAGTCCGAAGTGTCAGTTAACTAGTGTGAGAAGTTAACATACACACAATTTCTTTGGGGTTCTTAAGACTCTTATCTCATTTTCATTTTCATTCATTATTGGCTTTGGCCATGGAAAGATATTCGAGGAGAAGACCAGACTCTGAGCACACCTCACTGGAATGGCCTTGTATGTGTGCAAAGCTTGTCCTCTGCACCCATGGCCAAGTGAATGGCTGTCATGACTGTGAAGCTCTACCCTAACAACTTAAGCTATAGACAGATAAGCACTGCAGCAAATTAAAAAGAAGTTAAAAATAAAGCTCATTTTGCATAACCCCCCTAAAGCAAGGATTGAGTTGTTTGTGTACCTGGCTAGCTTTCCTGAACTGGATATCTCAGTAGTGATGAGGCTAAAAATCTGAACTCAGTTTGATAACCTTTTGCTTTTAGAAATATGTATTTAATATCTAAATATGAACATTTGTCTGCATTCTATGCATGCTGAATTTATTTCCTAAATATCATAGTCCTATTTGAAATGTTTTCTGAAAGTTAAAAAAATCATTAATTGCCAAGTTAGAAAAGTGTGCAGTAGTACATTGCTTTAATAGTACTTTAGGGGATTGAATTACGAATGTCCTTAGTTCCACCCATCTGCCCCACAGTGGAAAGCATTAACACAAAAGAAGTCAAACAGCCATAATATGCTTAAGTGTTCACACTAAAAAGTGATCCTGGATGTTTCCCCAAAACAGAGGAAACATTAGGAGTTACAGATTTAAAGTGAATTCAGTCATTCCCAGTTCTTAAAACCAAGCAAGAATGTTCACTTGGATCTCAGGGTTTGTGGGAAAAATATTTTCAAACCTTGCTTGAATTCTGTGTCCATAAAACGGAAACCTATCTGAAAACTACAGAGGACCTAGAGCAAAGGATAACGTGGATGAGAACCAAAATTTAAAATAATTGAGCATAAAGACATCTTTTTGCTGTTGCATGGACTGCAGGCAGGGTCTCCCCTCCCTCCATGCCCCCCACCCCCAACTCTACAACTCCCAGGCTGTCAGTCACTCATACAGATGAGGTATGTCCTGCTGAAATAAATACTTGTGTCTAATGTGACCTATAACCAGTGTAGGTGGGACCTAACCACATTGTACCAGGAATTGAGAAGTCATGGGTATGTAGTGTTAATATTTGTGAAAGGGTAGTTACTGCTGAATGATCACATCTGTTTCCCATTGATACGATGAGTGGAAAAACTCATTTGTCTTTTTTTTTCACTTAAAAGACAAGATAGCAAATGAGGGCTCTTCCAAGTGTGCTCAACTTAGTCGCAAATATTACCACTGCACATGCAGAATCAAACAAGAACAGCATAATACACCATAGCATACATATATCTTTCATATGGAATAGCTCCATGATGAAGGTGACACGTTATCCAAATAGGAAGGGTTCTTGTGTTTTATTTAGCTTTCAGTAAAATTCCAAAGTATAGCCACCTTATTGGCATGACAAGTATACCCTATATGTTATCAAGATTTACTTCTGTGGCATAGTATCTTCTCCTACACAGAGATGCTGATTGTAGGGACTAATCAAACCATTTTTGTATGTTCTCATCAGACTCTGTTGGCTGGAACTCTGCACTCCTTACTGCTTGCATGTTTACTAATTTATTATTAAAACCCGGTATTTGCCTTTGTTCTTTCACCACTAACACACTGGCCTCTTGAGTGCATGAGTTTTGTGTGAACTGGTGTGTGACTTAGCAACTAATAAATGTATCAGTTGTATTATATTTTCAGATCTTAAAAATAGAATTGAAATTACTGTACATCTTTTACAATAAGTGGTAAAAGTAAGAATATTCATATGTTATATACTTAATTTACCATTATGAGCTCTTAGAATAATTATATCCCTTCTCCATTTTAGCTTTTTAATCTATTCTATAGAAAATTTCACTATTGCTTTCTAGTTGAAGAGTATGATTTTGTGTACTAACATGTAAACAATCCATTGCAGTTATGAACTTAGGAAAATAAAATCCCAGCATTCCAGTGTTGTAAAATGCCAGAGTATCTCCCAGCTGTTAAACCTTTGCAGTAGTGACCCATGAAAATAGAAATCAGAGAGTTTGTTCTGAACCCACTTTTCAGTTATGAGAAAAAGATATTAGGCAATCACATAATATTTATTTCATGTGTTTCAACGTCCCAGGACACTCTCTCCTGCCAAGTCTCCTTCTTCATCAACTGGGTCTATTGCCTCCAGCAGAAAATACCCCTACCCAATGCCTCCACTTCCTGATGAAGAGAAGAAAATGAACCGACAAAGTGCCAGGGTATGTGTCTATATTAATCATTCATAGCTATATATTTATATATCTTTTTATTCATTGTAACAGATGTAGTAACAACCTGGAACAGACAAAACAGGGACTGTATTTGCTTTTACCTGTTTTCTCATATACCTGGAAATGCCAGAGATTATGTAAATAGCCTAATTTCTGTGCCCAGTTTGCTTATTCAGGTCTCTCACTGGCTGATAACAACCCAGCAGGATTTAGAGATAGGAACCTGGGGATGGAATTTGGATACGGAATGGGGATTTGAAAATCCTTAATATTAGAAGAATATGACAATAGTATGGTGAAATTTAGAAACCTTAAACATATATGGAGTTTTAAAACATATTTAAAATTTTAAAACATATATGGAGTTGGTTATTTGTATAAAAATATGATTCACCAGAACTTTCATTTCATTTGAATACTGGTCCCCTTTTACACTGTAATCATGGTTCTGCTCAGTCTCACAGCGTTTACGGGAACACAACCATTATGAGAAATTTGAGATACAGTTGAGTTTAGAGAGACAGACCAGCCCTCAGAAGCTTAAATGAAAGATATAATGAAAGAATAATTATCTTTATTGATATCCAACCTCTGTTGTTGTTAGTTAACCTTTAATGTTGATCCCAGAAATAATTTTGCAATAAAATGAAATAAAGTTTTAAAAGCCCAGGCAGATTTACCTGCTGTTGGGTTCTTGGTTCTGAGACTTTAGTTTTGAAAGATATTCAGAGTCTTTTTACTCCTGAACTTAAATTATGGGGTTCAAGGTAAACTTGGACCATTCAGATTTTAACTCAATTAACTCAGAGTCAGTAATAAAACACCACTCATTAAAAGCAGATTCGATTACTATAATCAAAAAGATTTTAAAAGCAATTAGTGGTGTTTAGTTAACCAAAAAAAAAAAAAATTACTTTCATATGTTAATATGGGAAATGGTGGGAAGGAAGAAGCTAACTCAGATTCTCAACATGCAGCTTTCTGGCCTTAAAAAAAAAAAGACTTGTTAATAAGCTTCCAGTTGTTCATGATGTGAGTAAGTGATAATGAAATCCAAGGCCCATGTCATTCCTTCCCTCTCTAGGGAATTGCTGAAGTGTAGCATATTACTCCCCACACCCCCCAATAAATTGTTTTGCTTTTTGCTCTACCTGGTTGTGAACATTCTTTCAGCTGTTGTCATGCTAGGGTGTAGGCCCTTGACACTCCCACACGAGAGCCTGTGAAAATGACAATATTCAGCAGAGATGGCTGGTTCCCTGCCCTCCCCCGGGCTGAATGGGTGACTGTGAAGACAGTAGCCTTTGGGACAGTTCTGTGAAGAAAGGTCTGGTTGATTCTGTCCGGTTTGGAACATCCACTTGAACCTGTAGCAGAATCGTGCAGAAGAGGCAGACGCTGTCCTGGGCTGTTTTTGTGGGCTGTGAGATTCGAGCACACAGACTCTGTTACAGCCATCTAGCAGTGGCTGAGGGTATGCGTAGTCCTAAAAGTGATGGCTCGGTGATTCTGTGCTCCCTCTTCCTCACTGAGATCATCGTGACGCTAAGGCTCCCAGTGTCATCCGCTTGTTCCTCTCCTCTTTCTGCAAGCTGTCACTTACTCAGTCTTCATAACCATTTGGGAATACACTGGCCCCCCTGAGGCTGAAGTCTGAGCTCTCTACTACTACATACCACCACTTGAGCACCAATCCAGATCTTTTCCTCACACATTCTATGAGCCCCCTGTTTAACCATTCATTTTCATTTGTCTTCACCAACAGGTGTCATCCATACACAAAGATCCTCACAGTTGAGAGATTTGGTTTCCAAAGGGTGAGGAAATGGGTATGTTTTTTAATGAAAAGGACAGATGAAGCCAGATCTAAGGTATATAACACAGAGTATTATGGTATGGCCTTCAGAGCAAGATTTCCATGAAGATTCAAGAGAACATATTAAGGGATCCAATAGAGAAACATCCACTTAGTCCCTTAGCTCTTTCTCCTGTTTCTTTCCTAGAAACTCATTAGGTATACAGCAATATGCCCCAGACTCCCATTAAAAATAGAGATAGATGGAAATGGGATGTAACCTAAGTCATACTGGTCTTAGGCTTTCTTTGTTCATGTGTATGGTAATTATACCCAAATCATAGTGCCTGCAAGTATACTCTGTTAGCTTGGTCTTTTCTTATTTTTAATATTGGCCTGCCTTCTCTGGTGAACAGAGTTGCATTCATATTTGATCATGCCTAAGTTATTTTAGTTCATTAAGGCTATTGCTGAATGTTGTAGAAATTAGATATGAACAGAGCCAGTACAAAGAGCTGGGGGCAGAGGCCAGGTAAGGGAAAGGATGAAAGAAGTAAGGAACTGACACCCTGCCCTGGATGCAACTTTCTACTCTGCTGTCAGCTCCTGAGAGAGGATCGTTTTCCAGGTGTGACGGAACTAGAGAGGGTGCACCCTGCTCAGGTCCAGGGCAGTGACTTTAAAGGGCATGGTGGTCGAATTGATGGATCACATTTTCCTAAGGTTCTTATTAGCACTGGCTGAACACTGGGAACACTGGGAATTGTCTAGAGGACTTTTAAATCATACTGATGCCTGAGTCCCACCCAGACATATTTATTAAGCTGGTGTGGAGAAAATGGAAGTTCCTGGCCACCTGGAAGTTCCAGGTGGCCAGGATCCTCACCTGAACCTAAACTACTTGATGATGTAATTGGCCTGCTGCTAGGCTATTGCTTCCACACCCACTGGCAATAAGCTATTATTGACTGAGTCACTATTTAAAGAGCTCTGCCCAGAGCACTGGGCAGAGGCAGGGATGGACAAGGATTATGGACCTTCAGACTGCTGGATGCAGATGGGATTCTAGTGCTCAACCTAACACCAGGAGAATAAAGCTGGGTGTAAACCTTTTACCCCAAGACTGTTCCATTGTCATTCCTTGGTCTCACTGACTCCATAGTGAACTTGCCTGGGGCTGAAACCTTCAGGCAGGACAGTTGGTGTGGTGTGCTACTGAGGCAGTGGGTTTTTAAACCATGCCTAGGTTATTGAAAATCACTACCTTAACTGACTATTGCAGAATCATGGAGAAAAGAAGGGTGTGTGTACTTTAAAAAAATAATAATATTTAAAGTATTTTCTTTCATTTGAGACACAGTATTTAACTTGTTCAAAATTTCAAGTAGCATTTAAATGAGGATTTTTATAGTAAAAGGTGGCAGTTGTTAAAAAGATTGAGATACAGGGTTAGAGAAAAGAGCTAAAACTTAGTGTTTATTTCATCCTTTGATTTGACTTTGCAAGAGTGCGTCCACAATCACATGAGTATGGATGGAACCACCTAATTTTTTTCATCTTCATAGCTCTGAATATGTCTGTTTCCTGCTTTCACATTGTGCAATTTTGCTTTTCTCTGTTGTACAGCTATGGGAGACATCCATTTAAGAGCAACTGTTTACATGTGATACATCAAAACTGTTTACTTCAACTTTTATAGAAACCCAGCCTCATGGAATTACTGCAAATCTATCTGCTCTTCAGACAAATTGAAGACCCTCTGAGATGCCCCACAGGAGAGGAAGCCAAGTCCTACATCTGGATACCATTTTCTTTTTGTCACTGGCTTAGGATTTAACTGAACCATGAAAAGAACTACTCAAATGTTACCTTATAACATGGAACAGTAAAGGTACTGGTATGTTAACAGATAATCCGCATGACAGAAATATGTAGAAATATCACTAAGATTAACTCACATGACCCAAATGTAGCAAGTTTCCTAAGGGACAGTCATGGATTCAGAACCTGACATTCTGAAGCACATCCTCATTGTAGACAGTAATGCTATGTGCATGAAGCTTCTGTTTCTTGTTTTCTACATTTAAGGAAACAACATCCCATAATAGACACTAGCATGCAGGGCTAAGGCATATAGGATTTTTCTGCAGGACTTTAAATCTTCGAGAGGCCACTATCCCATAAGCTAACCTTAAACGTGTATTTTTATTTTTGTTTTATTTTTTACTTTTCATATTTATATCTGCATACAAGGACAATTGTACATATGTAAACATTTTTAAAATAAAAGAGCTGTTACACGGAAGTATAATTTGCCAAATGCCTAACAACAGTCACACTCATATCATCGTCCTCCATCAAATGGTCTTTAAACATTATAAAGTGATGATGATGTAAATATAGTGGTCAACACACTAAATGTGTCCCTCTGTAACTGGTATTTGTTCAAAACAGTGACATCCCTTTAAACTGTGCACAGTCTGGAAGCAGTTTTATTGAGCAATTAATTGAACACGAGAACAAAATGCCCTGCAAACTGTAGGGCCTCCACGGCTTCCTGGGACCAGAGGCCAGTCGCACAGCTGATGTCCTGTCACCAGTCCCTCTGTGGCTGATGCACTGCTTGCTGGGGATCCTCCACTCTGTCCAATTTCCCCCTGGGGGCTGCAGAGCCTGCCTGAGCAGCTGTCACCTTTCAGTACCAGAGCTCGGCTGGTCTCCCCCTGTGGCCTCTGAGCCCCCAGCAAGGGCACAAAGACGCACGAGGCCAGAGGTAGCTTCACTTGCCAATATTCTAACGCTCTGGGGCCTCAGGTTTTGTTCTTTAACAGAAATTTTTAGCCACTCTTACCTAAAATGAATGACTTGTTTTGATAAAAACAACTTCACACTGTTTATTAAGGCTATCTACCATCAGTGGGACATGCTTCCCAAACAGTCCTTCTGCACGGGCTTGGAAGCAAGATGGTGGAAGATTCTAGAGCTGGGCTGGGACGCCTCAGCAGGCCACAGAGGGTTAACAGACACCAACAACCACGAGTGGGCAGCAACTGCAAAATTATG